TACATTACAATTCAATTGGCATTATTATTTATTTTCTTATTTCTTAAACTATATCAAGATTTTCTTAAAAGGGTTTTCAAATATGTTTAAGTCATATTATTTATATTTATATTTTTACTTATAAAGATCTAAAACAATAGTCTTATATTTACTAATAAAATATATATGGTATTATAAAATTAAATTATTAGATTTTAATTACGCATTAATAAACTATTTTATTTATGATCAAATAATAGATATAGAATTATGCAAATTATTTTTTAAATTAATGATTTTTGAAGGAAAATATGAGATAATGTCTACAAAAAACCGCTATTTCATTTCTTAGATTTAATAAATTTTTATATTTCAGAAACTTAATAATATGTAACTTTTAGGTAGGCACAAAGGACATGGGTCATTTATAGATTTACATGGCCTCGTTTATTTTTATCAGTTTCCATTTTACTGCGGATGTATTATTTGTTTTTTTATATGCCAAAAATATTTGGATAGGGATGTTTGGCTGCGTTATTGAAGGTATTCAGATGTTGGCTTCATATTAATTTAATTTCAATTTTAGTAGATCTAATATAAAAGTGTTCATTATTAGGATTCTCAATAGATGAGATAGTGCATTAGTAAACTACAGATTACGTGAGACATTTATTATTCAAATGACAATCTTCAGGATTTCTAGAGTTACATAATTTTTCTTTATTCTTATTTCTGGATCATTATTTCTTAGAATTTTATTATGTTTTTTTTTTTTATAATTTTTTCCAAATTTTCTGTACAACTGTAACTTAAATTTATGGTATTTTTACTAAAAATTTAGGTAAGTGTATTATTTGTAGGAAAATTTTTATCAATTAAAGCAAGAAATTTATGCCGTAAGTTACTACTAACCATTGGGCTGAATGTGGGGAGTTTCCCAAGTGATTTTTCTATTTCTCTTTCTTCTCTGGTTTTATCATCATTTTTTAGATAATTAATCTCATGGCATTCATAACCACGATGCATAAATATATATATGTGCATATATATATATATATATATATATATATATATATATATATATATATATATATATGTGTGTGTGTGTGTGTGTGTGTGTGTGTGTGTTTTATACAAAAAAATATAGATATTTTTATATCTATTGAATTTAACACTCTTTTTATAAATTACGAACAAAAGTCCGTTAATGTAGTTTCAGGATACATACAATATATCCCAAATCAAGTCAGTGTCGAAGGTTTCGACTCACATTTGACATCATCAGTGGTGGGGTGAAGTAAATAACGTTAAGAAAATGAAAAGTGTTTAAAGTTTCTTTATATTTGTTTTAAAACCGAATCAGTTAAAGCCAAACACAAGGAGAATTTCAAGTTGCATTGTGTTTTTATTCGGGGTATTGACGAAAGCTGGGTGGAGGTGTAGGAGTTGCAGTTTGATACGGGATTTATTTTATTATGTTAATCTGGATGGTATGTACATTAGATATGGAATATCAGGTAAGCTATACAATAGGCGTAGAAGATTGGCACTCACAAATGTTTTGTCCTCTTTCATGAAGGAGCTGCTTTACACCGATGATTGTGATATAGTTTCACATTCTGAAGATGAAATGCAACGTTTTTATGAACCATTTTGCGCATGCATGTAAATCTTTCGGCTTAGAGATTAATCAGATAAAGACAGTTATTATGCAAGACCTAGCACCTGGATTGCCCTACATAGAACCAGATATATCTTTTGAGGGAAACAAGCTGGACGCAGTGCACTTTTTTTTTGTATATCTTGGCAGAAGCACTTGCTGAGGGATGCAACCTTGACAAACAGATGTCTTTGCCCATTGAAAGAGCTGGATCCTTTTCGGGTCTTGAAAAAGATGTTTGGTCCCAGCATGGAATCAAGTTGCAAACAAAGGTCATGGTCTATAAAGTATACGTTTTGACGATTATCTTGTATGCAAGTGAAACCTAGACACTATATAAGCACTAACTAGTGGCTCTTGAGCGCTTCCATCAACGATGCCTGCAACAACTGCTTTGTTTTGGATGGCAGACCCATATCTCAGATACAGAAGTATTAGAAAAAGCTAGACTACCAATCATTGAATCCAATTATAATCCATTATGAAAAGTTGTCACGTTGTCCAAATGGATGACAGTCGTCTGCCAAAGGAACTGTTTTACGGTGAAATGAGGAAAGGTAAAAGAAATATATCAAAACCTAAAAAAAAAATTTAAGAACTATGTAAAATGTTGCCTGTGAAAATCTAGCATATCGGTGGATCCATGGGCAGCGGTGGCGCTGGACAGAAGTCAATCACGCAAACTGATTCATGATGATATAGAAGCCTTGGAATATAGCCGTGTTCAGTATGTCCCTTTCAATCGATCAGTTCGTAAGGGTGAACAAGGCCTAGCACAAGGACCACAAGGCCAACACGTCAACTGTAACATATGCGGAAAACTGTCTCCCACTAGCTGGTCTTAAAAGCAATCTGCGCAAA